GTGCAATTAGCCAGGGCACTCGGCGAACTTCCGGTGCTGCTTCACGCTACAGTGACCCGTTGGGAACTGAATGCCAAGATTACGCTATTGTTCAACATTGATAGTTGGATTACGTAGTTTAAGCAGACAGTGTTATGTGTTCTAAGTTCTCGTTGTGCTTCCTTCTCCAAACGGATCCTCGCCTTTCTTTCTGTTCCTTTTTCAATTTACTTTCCTCCTTGTCTCCTTCCTTTCTCATTGTTCTTTCAACGTGAAATTGCTTTTTCATCGCTCCAGTTTTCGCTCGCTTTCACCTTGGAAAATGTCACGATTTATTACGAACGATAAAGGCTCTTGTCATGGAGAGTCGCGAACAGAGCCAACAATCCCAACGAAACTGAACGATCTAGATGTTTGAATGTCAACTCTACGATGTTTCCATTCGTGTAGCATGAAAGGAGAGACGTTTAGCACTTCCCTAGACAAGGATGGAACACACATAAATTGGTAAGGCACTTGTCGTCCTTTGGGCGGCACTTACCAAATTTTTGTAGGTTGGGATAGCTCAGTCGGTAAAGCATCAGACTCTTAATCTGAGGGTCCAGGGTTTGAGCCCCCTGTTTAGGCGAAAAAAAAAAAACACACACACACACACACATTGTCCTTTAGGACAACAGCACAGGAGAGCTCTGTGTGTATAAAAAGGTCCCATCGTGAAGGTTTCAGTCGGTAAGAATCCGACACTACCTGGGTCTTCCCTTAAAAGACTCAGGTGTTTTATGAAGATTTCCTCCACGTAAAAAAAAAAAAAAAAAATACCCCCTTCTTCCTTTCACGTAATAATTACCAGCCGACGTTCTTCACGATTGCGTTTACCCTCGGGATTGAGTTGAGGAAAAAGAACCGTTTTACCGAGACACTTTGCAACTTTTCATCGTCGTTGTAAAATTTACCATTTAAGTGGAACACTCAAGTGTGGAAAGTGGTGGCAGTGAAAGATTGTAATTTAGTCTTGGACTGAGAAGCTTATTAAAACTGTAAAATAATGACATTTGATTCCGAGTTTTGATCTGTTCCTCTCGACGAAGAATATTTTCGTATGATTCTAAATTGTACTGTACGAAACCTGTCTCCCTTGCACAATCCAGAATCCTCGACCGCCCAATCGACGTACAAGCCAGGTGTATCTTCCCTCGGGCCAGCGCCAAAACGTGGGCTTTTTGGATCCGCGCTAACTTCCACTGCATGGATCGTGACTTGCGTAGAACCAGAGATACAACTGTAAATTAAATAACAAGTACGATACTTCTCGGCCAACGTTTCATCAGCCTTTAGAGAGATTAGATACCTAAATATTGTATCATTTTTCTGTTTCTCTTGAGTCTCTGCCAATTCCAGAGCAGCTTGCAGAGCTCGGCTTTCTTCGCGAAGAGTCAACAGTTCGAGTTCCTCCCGTCCGAGTCTGTATTCTAACTCGGCTTGCTGTATCCGAACGTCGATATTACTGGAATGGGAAAACAATCGATTGAAATAATTACTATCAAGCGTGATGAAAAAATTCTCTGATAAAATTTAGGGACGTACTGCACTTCGAACAAATGGGAAAGAATATTTGTGTAAATAAATAGAGAGAGAGAGA